TTTTTTTTTTTTTTTTGTGGCGGGAAACTGTTAATTTTTATAGTAAGTACAAACTTTTTTTTATGTATATAGAGATATAGATTCTTTTAGGGGACAACATGACAGAGTTTCCTCAGCATTGTTGATCCTTTTTTTTTTTTGGTCTTCATATATAGGAGCCCCCACTCTTTCGCATGGATGTCAGTTCGAACATAAAATACGGTTGTCCTCGAGATGTTAGTCAACAGGATATTGAATGGGCTGCAAAACAAGCTTTTGCACATGAATTTGTCTCATCCCTGCCACATGGCTACCAAACACTGGTTGATGACGATTTGCTTAGTGGGGGTCAAAAGCAGAGGATCGCAATTGCAAGGGCTATTCTTAGAGACCCTACCATTTTGATACTTGATGAAGCCACGAGTGCTTTAGATGTAGAGAGCGAACATAATGTCAAGGTAGAGAAAGATTTAGGGATGATTAAGCTACACTTGAGTTGTGGAGTGTGAAAATGAGAGAAAAAACAATTGAGTTTGAAAATTACCGAAACCACTCTCTTTTAGGTGGCCCCTGCAAGTCAATGGGAATTGCTGATGTTGCAATGTTTTTTTGCAATTTCATCCTCTAACTTCTCTGAACATTACAAATAGAAATAACTTTAAACATCTATTCCATAGTTTTTCAAATACATCAATCACTTTTTTCTAAACATTACAAATTCCCAGTACTGCCTTTTAATGTATAGTCAACTGTGTCGGGCCAAAGCGTGAACCAAATAAACCTAAATGGTTAATTTTTGTACTATATAAACTTGATTGGTTTTTCATAAATACAACAAAACTCATCTGAAGAGTGTTTTTATAATTACTCTAGACTTGTATAGCTAAATGAATAACCATAATATATCTTTCTGCTCTAATGATTTTGCACTATAACAGGGTGTACTCGGTGCTGTGAAAAGCGATTTTGTAACCAAGAGGACAGTCTTCGTAATTGCACATAGGTAAAAGTTGATGAAACTTAAGTAGGGAGTTTGATACGTGGTTTGTGAAATGGAATCATATATTGAAGTGGTTATTTGCAATTTGGACAATATACTGTTTAGTCTCTTTCTCTCTCTCTCTCTCTCTCTCTCTCTCTCTCTCTCTCTCTCTCTCTCTCTCTCTGTGTGTGTGTGTGCGTGTGTGTGCAGTAATGAGACCCCCAACCTCAGGTGTTGTAGATTAATTTGATTTGTCTGCTGAATATACTGATGAACCGTCTTTCATCCTTGCAGGCTATCAACAGTTCAAACTGCGGACAGAATAATAGTGATGGATGGTGGCAAAATCATTGAGGTCTGTTTATGTCAAGTTTTGAATTTGGGGGCTTAGTAGAATAGGTCGTTAATTAAATGTTGCTTGATATTCATGTGGATTGGTAATTCTCTGATCAAAATTTTTCAGATGGGCAACCACATGGAGCTCCTAGGGAAGGACGGGCTATATGCACGTTTGATCAAAAGACATTCCGATGTTGTTGTCTGATTTTCTCCCAACAATATATATGTCCATGACAAGTTCACAACATCTCAACTTGATTGCAAATTGAACAGCAAGTGCTGTCTACTGTTTCCATCATGGATATGGATATTGACTGTGGGTTGTCATTGAAGACGATCATAGTATGTACAGATATGCACACATTGGTAAAACTTGAGGCAAGTGTGGTGTCAAATGTATTTGTATATGATGGATGTGACGTTCAACATGTTGTAGACAACATGGTTTTAATGCTTTTCTAGGTTTTGTAGTTGAGTGATTAATGACTATACTTGTCTCCCGAACAATGTATATTGGGTTCTTTTTATGTTCAATTTATTTTTTTATCTGATATGAACTTGTGTTTTGCGTTGTATAAGATATTATCTCAGTTAATTGTTACCAAATAAAACCATCGAGCTTTCAACAAATCTATCTATATATATTAAAAGCCAACCTATTTACCAAAAACAGTAGCAAGAAAAGTCAACACACATGTAATGCATACTTTATTTGGAAATTTTTTACTATATGCATTAAATGCTTGCATATTTACATTTACTATTCAAATATGATCTTAAAGATTTTTTCCTTAAATAATTTGTGCAATGATTTTACTGATATCCATTATAATTAATATTTGTCGAGTAATATTTTTTAACCTTTATTTAATTATATAACACTAATATTTTTTTAAAAAAATTAATATTATTTATTATTTAAAAGATAATGATCACATCATTAAATGATTTTATTGATGGTTAGATAATAAAATTATAGTTATTCATTAAAATTTCGACATGTTATTTATTTGTATATTATTGTCAACTATGATAGTGTTTTTATCACTTTTTTTTTTGTTATGTTTCAAATATGAACTTATTGTAAAATATTTTTCTATTGCATAGTACGTTAAATAAACTATAAAGCCTTAGGATGAAAATTAGAAAAAATCTCTTGGTTATGTAAGAGATTTATTTTTTGGCAATTGCTAAATCATTTTTTTTTTTTAAAAAAAAAGAATTATTATGAGAAAATTGAATTCTAAAAAATATGTGTGTGTATTTTGTAAACATTTATACTCAAAGTTTTATTTTGAATTTCATTACATAAAGAAGACTACTTCTAAAACTTTTATAAATAATAATAATTACATTATATGACTGTAAATTTTATAATAAAATAATAATTGAGTATTATATGGTGAACAATAATTAATAAAATTTTTATTTTTTCATATATCAATGAATAAATATGTATTCTAAAATCAAATAAATATTAGTATGACGTGTTAGCGGAATTATACATTAATTAACATGTTAATTTTTTGGCTTAAATAAACGCCACTTATTAAAAGATGTGAAATATGGATGATCCAAACCTATTGTTTTTTTTTTTTTTTTTCTAGACTTACAAGTCCTATAAAAATAATTGATTTATTATATGTATCACGTGCATCGCACGGGGTATGCACTAATAAATGACCTTAAAGTTGTGCACCCCGTGCATCACCCGTGTTCACATTTTGGCCTATTACAGGTCACGTACTATATATATCCAGTACATTTTTTTTTATTCATTTATATAATTATAAGAATGGATAAATGACCTTAAAATTGTGCACCCCGTGCATCGCACGGGCTTTGTACTAGTACTGATATTAAGCACGATGGCCAATTGGCCATGAATGGAATTGTTCCTACCCCAGTTACTGTTATTAGTAAAAGAATTTTGGTAAGAATTGGATTTCCTGTAAGAAAATGAAGTATGCTCGAGAACTTGTAATGTCATGTTTAAATTCATTTTCTTCAGGATTTGTGTGAATATACTAATATTTCTGAATTGTTTCTCTAGTGTATATATGTACTCTACCAATATTTGTGCCCATTTTTTATGGTATAAGTGGAAGATTTGGAATAAAATTTCAAAACTATTTTAAGTTGAATGAGAAATGCCCCCTATATATTAATTCAAAACGTGTTGAGCTTGAATCGTAGGCTTGCACGCTTCGGAATCCTAGTTGGTAAAAATTCATGCTTCGGTTTTTAGTTTGGATAAAATTATTGTTATTTTAATTCAATAATTTTAGGTTCCGACATTCCATATATATATTAAAAAACTAACTAGGTAATTTCGGGCAAATTCTATTGCAGGGCTTGACTTTTTGTTATTGTGTCACAATAAGACCTGAATTTTCAACTTTTTTATTTGAGGGTTTCAATTTTAAGTAATTCTCAATATAAGACATAATTTTACATTCTAGTTTTCAATTTTAGACTCTAAGTCATTTTTTATTTTGATATAATTATGTAAACCACAATATTTTTTTTAAAAATCTATTTTTTAAGTACTTATAATGAAAAATATTAAATATATTTACTAAAATTACCTAATAAGATAATTATTTAATAATCTATATTTATAAAAAAGTTTAATGAATTTTAGTATAAAAGTTCTAAATATGTGATAACATTAAAATATAAATTTTATTTTTTTAAAATAAACTTATAGAAAATATTATTTGTGAATAAATTTTATATTTTTGAAAAAGTTAAAATTATATAAAAAATAATACATATAATAAAAGCATTAAATATATTTGTAAAAATAGCTTCCTAAGAAAATTATTTCAAATAATCTACATTATGCAAAATTAATTTAGCTTAAATGAACTAATTTTTTTTACTAAAGTAACGTAATTAAAAAAATTATAATTATAAAATATAAATTTCAAAATAATAGTATTTTTAGTTTACATATTTATGTAAAAATAAAAAGTGATTTAGAGTCTTAAATTGAAAAGTAGAATGTAAAAGTAGGTCTTATATTGAGAATAACTTAAAATTGAAACCCTCAGATGAAAATGTTGAAAATTCAGGCCTTATTGTGACACAATAACAAAAGGGTCAAAATCTTTTTCACCCCATTATAAATCTATTCTTTCTTTTACACACCGCCCCATCAAATAACTTCTTTTACACCCCAAAACTCACAAAATGCTATGCGATATTACAGTCGCATGTCCAAATGAACCAGCGCATATCCAAGCGGACGCATAATTTATGACTATGCGAAAACATTTCGCATTTTTGTAATCGCATATCCACATCAAACGCATAATTTACAAATATGCGAATATCTTTCGCAGTTTTAAGAATCGCATATCAAAATCGAATGCAGCATAATTTACGATGATTATGCGCCTTATTTCGCAGGGCTATATCGACCTTGCAAATTTATGACTGTGCGAAAACGTTTTGCATATGATTCGCATTATTTGTTGAATTCGCATTTTCTGGAAATTGCATATCCAAGTCAATCGCATAATTTACTGGTATGCGAAAAACTTTCGCATATATCCGCCGGATAATTGACAATGATGCGACATTTTTTCGCTCGCATATTGAAGAATCGCATAACAAAATCGAATAAAGCATAATTTAATTGACGGTAACGCGCCATTTTTTCGCAGGGCCATATCGTCATGGAAATTTTACGACTATTCAGAATTTGATCGCATATCTGTCGCATAAGTTACGCACCTCATTAATTGACTGCTTTTTCACAGGTGAGGATTTTGTCTGTGCATTTATCATGCATGCAAAAAAAACAGTGATCTCTAACAATTCAACGTTTGCACCATTCTTCTCTACTGCAATTTTCTGTTTCTTTCGTTTTAATTCCTTTTGTTGTTCACTTATTTGAACGACTAGCACCCGTGTTAGAGTATGCGTGAGCTATGGTGGTACGTTTTCCGGGGGTTCATATCTTGGTGGAGTGGCAGAGCTGATGAGAATAAATTATGGCCGACAAATGTATTCTGAAGTAGTTTCTCGTGTTCAAGCATTATTGAAGGCCGATCCTTGTAATTTTGAGTACTTATTGTGGTTAGTATTTGATGGAAGGGAACGAAAAGTGAAGATGAAAACTGAATCCAGTGAGGATATCTTAGAGCTGATTGAAGAATAAAAAACTCCCAACATTTACGTGGAGTTGGAGAAGCGAGTAAATGTAGGTGTTCCGGGGACGGCGCAACAAAGCTTCACGCAAATGATGGTGTCCCAAGGTGAATTTCCGAGTTCTTTTGGTGTTAATAGTTCTGCATTTTCCCACGAGGCCCCATATTCACATCAAGCAGGCCCTACTGGATATCCTCGGGGCGCTGATGATCAAACCGCGGGTTGTTTGAACCAACCAGGTCATTCTTGTGACGATGACAATAATGATGACCAAACCAACACGCACAATGGTGACTCAGGCGACGAAGACAAAGAGGTACATGAGAAGCACATGTTCAAGCTTTTCAGGGCGTGGTATAGCGAGCATATTGAAGAGCTAAGATTAATCACCGACCATATTGAGGTTGAAAGTCTTGCATATATGAATTGAGGTAGCACCCGACAATCCGACGTTGAGCCACGAATGTGGTCCCTTCCTATGCCGCCCACGACAACTGGGTCAGATAGACAACCCATCCACTTACCCTCGAACAATATAGAATTATCTTTGGGCTCTGTCTTTCTTTCGAAAGAAGAGTTGATTTGTGTCATTCAACTGTATCACTTGCAACAAAAAGTTGAGTGTCGAACACCCAAATCCTGCACTTCTAGGTTAAAATCTGTTTGTCGGTATGAAGGGTGTTCTTACAAGTTATGTGCAAGGGCAAACCGAGATGTATGGAGAATCACTACTTTGAAACTCGAGCATACATGTGAAGGGAGTTTGACGCACAATCGACACCGTTCGGCTAATTCCAAGGTTCTCGCTCATATTTACGCATCAACTATTCAGACAAGTCCCCAGACGGTATCTACACGGAGAATTATTGAATAAATGCGGGAGGAGCATGGTTTGTCGATCAGCTACAATGTGTCCCTCCGAGCAAGACACCGTACTTTTGAAAAAGTTTATGGAGGTCATGAAGAATCATGGGGGCGGCTTCCCGGTTACTTGCACATGTTGCAGGTTCGTAATCCAGGTACAATTGTCGAACTGCAACGAGATGG